TCATAATGACACTGTTGGAACTGAGACTTTCTAAAAAAAACTGTATTTGAATAAACATCCCTTCTCCCAACCATCATTCCTTCCTATGACAGCTTAGACTCTAAACCATCTTTGGATATGGATTTTGTAAGAACAAATGACACATCTACTTCAGTACTTGGTGATGGTCTGAGAATCCATTCAGTTCTACCGGTAGATCAGATTTACACATGCAGGCAAAAACCTGAAGTATGAAAACTGTGTACACACGTGAACATACAATTAGCCTGCTTTTATGTACGTCAAGAAAGTGTAATGTATATTCAGATCGTATGCCAGACCTCTAGGAAATATATGATCTGAATTTACCATGCTCATGATAAATTCGACATAGGCAACTTTACACTCATGTGCACAGTGCATTGCACACTTTTCGTGGCCATCAGATTTTTGCCTGAATGTAAGTTGGGTCCTAGCCTAGACAAAGCAACTTTCTCTTGACTACATGTCTACTAGCATTACATAAGCAGAATATGTACAAGTCATTTTATAAAGAACATCTGGTAGTATTGGAGACAGCTTGCATGTTTACCAGTCTGCGTAATTTCTAACCACATCCTTCCACAGGTTGGTACGGACCTCAGTCAAATCAAACAGGTGGCATCCTGTTTACATAGTGTATATGCAGCCTCAATGGTACTATTCCTGGTATTTAACTTTGAACATGACTTGCAAAACTGCAGTCAACAAGACAATACAATTGTTTACACATTACAGGCCTATTTTTGTGAGACCATTGAATATGTGTTCTGACAATCCTCTCTAAGTTACCTAACGTTATGTCTGAACCTAGGGGTATCAGAACATAGTGGTGTTGGTACATATGCCTATCCCAAAAAGTTGGAAGCTGAATAGACTCAAGTTACAAAAGCTACAAGAACAAAATGTATAAAAAGATATTCTTCATACCAACTTTTAAATCCTACACTGAAAATTAACCTTCTCCCTGCTGTCCTACCCTGAAACCAACATAGAATTTATAGCCAATAGGCTACTTTGGTGTGCTGAAGGTTAATCTGGATGTAGAAAACTATACGCTGTTGTTTCCTCTCTTCTAGCTACTTGTTGTTGTTTTTTTCTTTTTCTTTTTTACGTAACAGCGGTGACACCAACCCAAGCACATCTTGACTCAATGATTGAGTCACGTTTTGCTGGAAGGTCCAAGATCTACTTGGAGATCACTGTACCGGAAATCATAAAATATTTGCAGCCGCTATATGTTAGCGGTTGCGGTAAGGGGTCAACCCAAAGTCATCACGTTGAGAACACAGTTACCATAATGGTTGTTTCAACCGCAAACTTTAAACACAGCAAATTCCCCCTTTCTTTCTTTCCTTACCCGTTACCCTAAACTTACATAAGTGATCAGACTTAATTTACCTTACATAAGTGAATTTACTGTAAACTTACATAAATGAATTTACAGTAGTTTGGACCCATTTGCCCCCATGACAGGCATCTTGGCATCTGTGGCAGGTCATGTGACAGGTCCCCCCCCCCACTACTGGTTGTGACTGGTCCCTACAGGTGAGATCCGCCCCCTAAATACTCCAATCAACTCTTCCCTCGCCTGTTAACTTGGCATGGCGGCACCACGGTTGCCAAGAAACCTTCCTGTCTGTCGTGGTAAGACGTAAATTTGGGAAAAAAAGGGAGCAGATGTAACTGATCCCAAACTGATATCTTCAGTTACATCCTCTCCAAGAATGTTTTGGTGGATGCAAGACAGTATCAAATTGGCAAGACAGTCAGTATCAAGTTTGGCTGACATAAGAAAAAAGGATAAGGACAAAAAAGAAAGCCCAATAAAAATGCCGTAAACATATAAAAACAAGCTGTAGCCAAAACCTCTGCTTGGAGAGTACAAGCAGAAGGTTAAGTCATTTTTTTTGTGACCTTTTCTACGATTCTGTTTCCACATGGTAGTGGCCACAATTTTTTACATTTTACTTCTTAGAGTTAGAGGGAGAAAAATGAAACTTCAGAAACCATGGAAAGTGGTCTGAGAAAAATACTGACACTTTCATTTTATTAATAATATTAATGATACAATAATATAGTTTTTATAATTGAACAGAATCACAGGAAAACCAAAGTAAGATAACAGAAAGACACTATTACTGTTATCTTTATATAACGTTACATGTATAGCTTTTCCACTTGTTAATTTTATTTTAAATAATCCAATGTTCTCGGTTTTATGACTGAATAAAATCGTAGAAAAAAGAAAGTAAAATAAGAAAAAAACCACCATGACAGTCTCTGTTCTTATACATACCCCTTGTTAAATAATCCCTCATACTTTTTGTTTCGGGGCTGAAATCACAGCCAGAAAATCCGGCCAGCTTGCCTTTAGTCAGGTGTGTGGCTACGCACACGAAAAAGTGAAATATCGGATATTTGACGAAGGGCTCACCCTTCTTTGTCCAACAGTCTATTTAAACTTACTGTACTGCTCTTCCTCCACAGTTATATATACACATTGATAAACGGTCTGTCAACAAGTCTATTTGACAACCTCTCAATTCAGTTGGTAAGAGTGTCTGATCTAAGGTAACCAAGGGGGCGTTGTCTTTGCAAATCGTGTCTTGTTGACGGAGTATTCCTTCTAGGGGGGAGGTTACCTATTGGAAAGACTTGAACCATGTCTTATTCATAATGCAAAAATTCCTGTGCTGATAAACCAATTTGTACTGGGGTGTTGAGGTGTTTCGTTCAAACCTTGGGTGGGTTTTCGTGGCCTCCTAAGCCCGCACCACCCCTTAGATTATCAGACCACTTCAACGTTATCTAATAATGGTGGTAAATTTTCAAACACGCCTTTCGGAAGTCAATTACAGTTCAAATATTTCCTCTGGGCTTCTGTCTTGCTTGGCAATGTGCTGCCAACCGTGTGTGCATATATGTAAGTTTGAACCGGTAAAACCTAGTTTGCAGTGGGGCGTTACGGATAAATGAAGTTGTAAACCTTTTAGAGCCTGGTTGTAAAGTCTATGCTGGGGTGTAGTCATTTCCCTCTTCTTGTGGAAAGTATAAACAACGGTTTTCCTCTGATTCTCATTTTCTTTCTCTTTACACTAAACACAATAAATGTCAGGACTCAACTTTAGTCAACATTAGTCAGCGCTTTTTTTGGTGCCATCCAGTACCTAGCACTGGGTAAATACGTCACATGAAAAGCGAAAATTTCTTCATTTTCTGTACCTGAAAAGTTATCACTTTCTATCAAAGAGAGAAATAAGAATATCAACTTACTTGAGCACGATGTTTTGAGTTGCATTTCAAAAGAAAGGGAAAGAACAGATTTTTTTTATTAAATGAGTATTTCCTCTCTGGTCTGACAGTCCAAATGACCCAAAACATACTCCAAATTCCACAGTTTTTCCAGCAAGGGCAAGCCTTTTCTACTTATTAGATGGAAGAAAAAGGTATCTATTATGTTCCAATTGTTTTCTACTGGTATTATTTTCCTATGATGTGGATAAAGTTTCTTTAAAACTATCAAACCCTCACCCTTTACATTAAAATTACATTATTTGACTTTTTGAAATTGTCTAGATTTTAAATGGTTATCAATTTGATGGTCAGGTTGTAAGGTTCTATAAAAAAATAGTGCATACAGAAATTGACAACTTCTAAGCAAGGTATATTCTAGATCAGATAATTATGTAACATAGTAAGGGCATAATTGTATAATGAGGACTCCTCCTATTGTAAACAAATACACCTGAAATCTGTATCCTATTAATTGATAACAATCATTCTGGGTGGCAAAATTGTAGGTTTTTTTTCAAGTTTTAGTACTTTGGTTGATAAAAGGTTTTAATAGTTTTGAATCATACTAGTATATATTTCAGCTAAGCCTGGAGTAAAAGAGATTAAATTTCCACACAAAAGCTATTGTTTATTTATCTCTCCAAATTCAATTGCACTTTCGGATTTAACCAGTCACACTTTAATAAACCCCACCCCGTTGATTACACTACTGATAAACTGTTAAAAACCTTTAAAGACAGTAGCAATGCCCCCCCCCCCTCAACATCTTGAAGGAGGTTTATTTTGGCCTTGACGTGTCTTGAAGAAAATGGCGGCCCCCATGCCCAACTCACAGGTAGCATTTCAGTAGCATTGGCAAATATATTCCCACCACACACGGTAGTTTATATTCTTTATATGGCATAAGCGTCTCTTCTGACCACAGACAGTACGCTGGGAGGCTTTAGCTTGAAAACTTTTTGGTCAGAAGTTGACATAGACCAGCAAATCCAGAACATATGGGACAAGTGCTAAAGTTTCATGGGTGATTATAAACGGGTGGATTTTGAGGTACAATTCACGTGTATTTTTAATCTGAACTTCCCGAATAAACACGTGTAAATCGAACCTTATTGTTGAAGGTACTTTGGTGCGTGTATAGCAGAATTAGGAGCGTCTTGAAAACCTCTCAAACTCCACTGTAAGTGGATTAGAACCCGCGACCTGTGCTCCAAGAGGGGCGTCGAAATCACAAAAGGTGTGAAGTCAATACGCTAGTATCAACTTCAGTAAAATCGTGTGCGATGACGTTGTTGGGTTGCCAAAAACGTCTAGAGTTGTGTTATATCGTGTGTAGCTCTCTTCTGTCTACGGGCTTATCCTGCCGAAATGTTTGTAAATAGAGTACGGGAGGTTGGTACGGCCTGACCCGGGCTACTTCGGTAACCTCCCGGTGGGCGATCGTTTGTACGCATAGAACTGCCAACTGTGGCACTACCTACGCACAGAACTACTTCCCCAAAACAAATTTGAGACTTCCCCTTTCTTTCAAATATCTCCTAATAATCGCAGTTTCCTTCTGGGTAGGTAAAATCCTACAGGAAAGAATCTAGCGTTAGGCGAGAAAAGTTTTCGCCCACTTGACTACTTGACGTAGTAGAAACACATGGCCCAAGTTCGCTACACACACACGCACGCAAGCTCACCTTGTGACTCCACCAGGCTCCCAAACGTCGCTAGAAGCGTTGCAACGCAAACCAGGTACGAATTCCTCCACATCCTGAGACCCGGCTTGGATCTAAACCTTCTCGCCGCATGGAAAACTGGTCAGTCGGAGGCTGAGTTGGGCGGATTTTTGCAGAAAATGTGGTGCAGAGTTGAGCTGTACCGTTAGTGAGCGTGGCGAGCCAGGCACTAGCGGGGTTCGCGGTTCTGGCAGCCTCGCGTGTCATATTACACAACACGGCTCGGGTTACACCTCACGGCCCTGAAATCTGCATACTCAAGACAACCCAGCAAGAATGTCATTCACCTTGATGCTGCCAGCTTCCCCAAGCGAGCTTTTGATAGGATAATCTGTGTTTTACAAACAAAATTCATTGGGTTTTCCCCGAAATAACAAACTTGCGCTGATTGACACCAGATTATTCGAACAGGGGAGAATTTCTAAGAAAACGTTTTAGATCGAGAGATTAATAATACTAGTAACGTTACTCTCTTTCATCAAGATCCTTGCTTTCAACGTCAGTTATTTCTATTGTTACTTCTTTTGTAATTTCTTTCTTTCATGAATACAAAAGATATTCATGACTTTTTGCTCAGAGGACAACAGAATAATGCCTGTGACTTTGCAGTTTTGCCGGTGTAAAAAAACGACTGTATGATGCAATCCATATTTGACTTTGCAAAGATTTAGACCATTTGTAACTTACAACAAGATCAGACTGTAGAAAATTTTCCGTAAAAAGTTTATCTTCCACAGCCTTCTACACTAACAAACTAACGAACAATTATGCATAGACACGTAGTTAGTCGGAATTCGCTTTGCTATTCGGAACTTGAAATAAGCCATCCGCAAGCACCTGAAAAAGCTACAACACTTGTACCTCGTCATTCAATACTTGGTTAGTGTGAGAGTTGGGGTCATGAGCAAGTTGGTACGTGGCTGGGGCTGAACTTGGGGCTTTCTTAGAATAATAATCGGAATGCCGATCTCCAG